CATTTAACGTTGATAAGTTAGACTTATTTTATCAATTCAGAAAGTGTTGTGCTTATAATGACATAAAGTATATTTATTCATTAATTATCTTTTTTTATCTAACGTATTATTATGCTGTGTGCTACTTATATCAATATGAGTAGTATATAACATTAGTCAAGATTAGAATGTCTGGCAGTAGAAGGTCGAGAAGGAAAGAACTGAAACAGAAAGCCATTATTATGAAAATGTAGAAACAATGAAGTCTGCGACAATTGATTGACATTTACAAATTAAGTATTTACTGTATGGTTCTCAGATTTTACTAAGATGTTCTATAATTTCATGTGTTCAAATACATTTTGACTGTCCCCATTTGTATTGTCTTTCATTACACTAAAACGGCTTACATAGAGGTAGGTTAGAGAAAGGCTGTGGATGCAGAGTATAATATCTGTATGGATAAACTGCATTAATAGTCCCTGGAAAAAGATGTAGGAAGTTGTATACTTTTTCGTTGACATTTCGTGAGTTAATTATCATATGTCTGTAGAAATTTTGAGTGATATATGCTGAAGTTTGTGCGAATGCACACATATTTCATTAAGTTCTTTTAGATTTTGAGTTTTAGTATTGTTTCATACTGTGAATGAAATATAGTAGCACTGTTATCTGATCAACTACTTAGTCCATATAATCATTAACATGTTTAACCGGTACTGGATTCAACTCTTAGTATGATAATCGACAGTAGAATACAAGTCTACCTATGTGATGAGTCCTAAAAGGAATGAAATAGACATTCTAGATTATATTACTAACCTCAACCTGTATACTAAGAAAAAATTTGTAACGAAATGGTAATATCAAACCTTTTTTCCTCTCGTAATGAACATATGCTAATAGAATGTGATCGATTGCAGTCCTTAATATCAACAGCTGAAAACGATTAATGTCTATAAATTACTAATGAGAGTCATTATATCCTGAAGATACCACAGGTATTTTGAGTTTAATAACACTTTAACCAGTAACCAGTAACACCTCAGTAGGACACTCCTCAGCAGTGTGCACACACGAACCCGCATCCCGCGAGATTCGAACACAGGGCCTATCAGTCTCGCGCCAGCCGCTTAACCAACTAGACTACTGAGCCGGCTGGCATCCAATGGTGTTAATGTCTAACTTCAACCAATCCACGAAGTTGCACTACCATATACCATTGTTTTCAGTGAGCTGATATCTAACAATAGACCTGGTTGAACTCCACTGGTAACGGCTTCTCACTAGAACTCCAGGAGTATCTTCTGAAGTCAGTCGCTAGTGAGCGGATGATTATTATCCGAAGGGGTTTGTGGAGATTTTAGAAATTTCACAGATTGAAATCATGAGTCAATTGAAGCTAGACCACCATGGAAAACCTGGAAGTACTGGACGGCCGTTTCATCCTAGTATGGGACTCCTCAGCAGATCTGGATCTATTGATTCTGGGGATTTATTAACCTCTACAATCCATACGTGAAAAGGGTTCATGTGATTGATATCTTGTTAATCATTTTGAATGTATTACCTTTTTAATGTAAGAACTGCATGTTTCTATTCATGATCATATATCATTGAACATATCATCCAATAACTTCTAGTCATTTCCATAGATTATACATTTTATTAATTAACAATAATTAGGACAAAATGAAACGAAGAATTACAAAAAAGCCATGTGATTGTCAGTTATGTATTTCATAAGTGTTTGAGTACTATACAAGTCAATGAGTTAGGATATTTGATTTATTCCTATTCAGTGTACTAGTTATAGGCATAGATACACATGACTAATCATGAGTTTCCGTTTTAGATATTATCGACAAATATTTCTGGTATTGCGTTTTCTGAGTTTTTTTATTGAATAGTGGTAGATGGAAGGAAACTCCTTTCGATCTAAATTTCGGGTTGTTTCAAACATTTGTCAATAAGTTGTAATTACAGTCTTGGAGAAACTGATAATCTCTGTGGAATTCGATCCCATGTCGCATGACTCTATAGACGAAGATTACTTACTTACTTAGGCCTGTTACTCCTCGTAAAGGAGCATAGGCTGCTCATCAGCATTCTCCATCCAACCCTGTCCTGGGCAATCCTTTCCAGCTCCTTCTAGTTGTTATTCATCTTTTTCATATCTTCCTCTATTTCATGACGTAATGTGTTCCTTGACCTTCCTTTTTTCCTCTTCCCTTCAGGATTCCAAGTTAGGGCTTGCCTCGTGATGCAGTTTGACGATTTGCGTAATGCATGTCCTATCCATTTCCATCTTCTTTTCCTAATTTCTTCTTCAGCTGAAAGCTGGTTTGTTCTCTCCCACAGAAGGCTGTTACTGATGATATCCGGCCAATGGATGTTGAGTATTTTGCGTAGACAACTATTTATAAATACTTGTACATGTTTGATGATGGTTGTTGTAGTTCTCCAAGTTTCAGGTCCATACAGTAGACAGACTAAGATGGTACCGCTAAAACCTCCAATGTGCGATTGACCACCTGTAAGACTAAAGCATTTATGCCTTGTTAGCAAACCCCAACCAGCTATCACTGATATTTACGACACTATCATCATTGTCTGCATTATATAGAGATGATTTTTCAGTCATTATTTGTACGTATATATCAAGTTATTTGAATCAGATAGCCTTATCCATGACTGACTTTCCAAGTAATTTTTATTTCCTTCATTCTTGTTAGTTGTCTTTTTCTGTTTATGAAATGAATGAAGAATTTTGACTCTAAGTATAGTAGGCTTTAGTGATGCCATTCAGAATAGAATCAGAAAAACATTTTACTCATTGAACACAGCACTACAGCAAGTATCTCTCATTAAAACAAAAAGCTTTGATGGTTTTCAAATGCATGATATTTATAAAATCTGCTGTCTATCTGAATTCTAATAAATGTAATTTCCTGGAATTCTAGTGAAAAGCAGTGACCAGTGAAGTTCAACCAGGTCTATTGTGAGATATCAGCTCACTGAATACAATGGTGGATGTATCGCTCAATTTGGTGGATTAGTTAAAATTAGACATTATTACCATTGGATGCCGGCCAACTCATTGGTCTAGAGGTTAGTCGTTCTGATTTCGAATCTCATCAAACGGGATCATGGATACACACTATTGAGGGATCCCACAATAAGACGAAACGGCCATCCAATACTTCCAAGTATTAGATGATGGTCTAGCTCATAATCTCAACTATTGAAATTACTAATAATATCCACAAAAACCGCTTCGGATATTAATCAACATATGCTCACTAGTGACAGGCTTCAAGATGCATATCCTGGAGTTCTAGTGAGAAGCACTTACCAGTGGAGTTCAACTGGGGCTATTGTGAGATAGTAACTCACTGAAAGCAGTGGTAAATGTGTTGCTCAATTTGGTGGATTAGTTGAAGTTAGACATTAACACCATTGAATGCCGACCAACTCGATGGTCTAGAGGTTAAACGTTCGTGTGCGACACCGATAGATCCTAGGTTCGAATCTTGCGAAACGGGATCATGAATGTGCACTGATGAGGAGTCTCATAATAAGACGAAACGGGCGTTTTAAATGGTGGGCCAGCTTCAATTGACTCATGATTTCAACTGTTGAAATGATTAAAATCTTCATAAAAGCCCTTCTGATTCAATATATATTGTCTTAGATATGCTGTTCAAATTAATTAGGTGAAACATTTAATTGATGATGCCTGGAAGTATCATGCTTATCAATGGATAAAACAAAGTTATATCGGCTCAAGTTGCATAGAAGTCAACTATAAGAAACTATAAACAGTACATAGATAGATCAAAGATGATAATATAAGGAGAACAGTCGTTGTTAACAGTTATACAAATATAAGAACTCGATTAAAGTTTACAATGTCCAAACAATATCACTTTGTAACTTGATTGTCTAATAGTATTAGAATTCCTAGAAGAGAAAAAAAACAAATAACCTCTGACTTTTGAGTTCTGAGCTCATTCTGTTTTAACCCAATCAATGTTGATGATTTCAGAAATTTCCAGTTTCATTTATATTCTACAATCTTATCTAACTCACTATAGAACATCTTGAAGCATTGAACAACCATCTTATTCTAATATAAGATACACCAGTAGGTAGTGTTAATGTACAAACTTAAACACAGAAATCAATATCTAAACACTTCATTTACACTTGTGAATACTTAATCACTAAAAGATCCTATAAGGTAGGATCATAGATGCTTAATATTGATGAATCTCATAATAGGATGAATTGACTATCTAGTACTCGTATATCCTAGGACCATCAATTAAGTAATGCAGTTGTTAGCAAACAGGTACTAGGTAAGGATGGCAAATCAATTGATGACGTAGTGAAACTTCATCATTTGAGATGGCTGGGACACGTGTTACGCATGCCCAACGACCGACTTCCTCGACGTGCGATGTTTATTGGTATAGGAATAGGTTGGAAGAAAGCTAGGGGCGGCCAGACCAAAACATGGCACAAGTCCATGAAGTCACTGACAAGTAGACTGAGTCATGTTGGTAGGTGTAGACTACCTGGTTGAGGACCGCGAGAGGATGGTTAGAGACCCTGAATGACACGGCTCAAAATCGTTTGCAATGGCGCAAGTGCATACACTCTTTGTGTTCTCCCAAATTTTGATCTCCTTATTCCTCCTTGTCTTTTTTTCTCTTCCCAAATTTATTTCACTGTATTATACTCTTTAAGTATTATCTCCAAACCCTAATGTTCCCGATTACTGCTTATACTCTTATTACCTCTACCACTACGGTATTTCAATCGACCACTGCATCTCTGTGCTAATGTGGTGTGGCAACTCGAACTGATGTACGTACGTACGTACGAAGTTCTACGTTGTTACTAACTGACTGACTTCTAGGTTTTCAATAACGTCATCAATTAGGTTCATGATCTCAATGAATAAAAAAGAAAAAGAAAAAGAAAAGAGAAAAGAAAAATTAATATTGATCACTTACATTGATCATTTTGATACATTTCATCAATAAATGGTAATTGATCTAATCGATAAAAATAATTTTTTAATTTTTCTATTGAAATTGATTTCACATTGATATATTGATTATTAATGATCCCGTAATTATTTGTTGTACTTTTATATAATTTTTTATATGATGATGATGATGATGATGATGAACATAAACTAACAAATGCTGACATCATAAAAATATTATAACTAATATCAATCATTGAAAATATAATAGATCTGCTTAAAGATCCAAGATAATGATGTTCAACACGAAGAAATGGATCACTTTCTTGATCCACTATCTTAGATGTGTCTATATATAGATCTAGATATATCAATTACTGAAGATCAAATAACAAATAGAGTACAGTATAATTTGAATTTAAATTGTATACTATTAAGATCAAAATTATACAGTTAAACAAATCATTCAATGATTCAATGAATAAAAGAAGGAAGTAGTGTTTACACTAGGAAAAATTTAAATTTTATAAATCATGTGTTCAGTGAATTGATTTTTTTGTTGTTGGTTGATTGATTATTGATTTTATGCACTCAAATAATTTATATTGATATTAATAGGAAGAAATAATCAATAATTATGTAATTTTAGATAGACGGCCTTCTTGAGTATCTGGGCTACATGTTTCTGCTAAACTAGATCCTTCAACAAGTTATCTATTTTTTTGTTTGTTTTAATATATGTCATGATGTCTATTCATTGCATAACATTATTCTGGTGCATTTTTGAATAGTGTACAACTTTTCATTGTCAAAGTTACAAAAAGCCCAATAGCAGATAATGTGGTTGCTGGTAATATGCAACGAAAAGAATATACATTATTCAGATGTTCATTTACTGGACTGTTAACATCTAACTGGCGATCATTCAATATGTTATCGTCAGGATCAACCAAGAAATAAGAAACGGAAACTTGTTGAAATAATTTGTGCTGAGAATTCTATATTGTACCAAAAATATAATATTGAATAAAGCTAATAATAATAATAATAATCACAATAACTGCTTCTCAATAGAACTCCAGGATATACATCTTGAAGCCCGTCACTAGTGAGCATATGTTGATTAATATCAGAAGCGGTTTTTGTGGATAGTATAGTTAAGATTATGAGTTAATTAAAGCTAGACCATCATGGAAAACCTGGAAGCACTGGACGGCCGTCTCGTCCTGGTATGGGACTCCTCAGCAGTGCGCATCCACGATCCCGCACCACGCGGGGCTCGACCCCAGGACCTACTGGCTTCGCGCGCGAGCACTTAACCGCTAGACCACTGAGCCGGCAACCAACGGTGTTAATGTCTAACTTCAACCAATCCACGAAGTTGCGCCACCGTACACCATTGTCTTCAGTGAGTTGTTATCTCACAACAGACCTGGTTGAACTCCACTGGTAACGGCTTCTCACTAGAACTCCAGGAGGTTTTCCTGAATTGGCAAATTGGTTCATATTTAGTCAAGGCATGAATGGTTTAGTTTGTTTATTCTGGCTAGTGATTTGTATTTTTTAGTAAGGTTATTTTCTATGGGATAAAGTTGTCAACTTCGTGTCTAACCCTTCTTCTTTATCCGGGATTTGGACTGAGACAGCAACCCTAGAAGAGCTATAAAGCGGTATTAATAATATATAAACATACTGTTGGTTATTAATGATTAATTACGTTATATTATTAAGGAAAAATAATATTTTGACAGAGAGAGGTTTTCTGGATATTATGGTAATTTAGTAATTGAAGCTAGACCACCATGGATGCTGGTTCAGTGGTCTACAGGTTAAGAGTTCGTGAGCGAGACTAATAGATCCTGAGATCGAATCTCAAGAGGCGAGATCATGAATGCTCACTGTTGACGAGTCCCATATTAGGACGAAACGGCTTTCTAGTGCTTCCAGGTTTTCCATGGTGGTTTAGCATCAAGTGACTGATGAATTCTACTAATAAACTAGATATTTAATTGTTTTCATAGAAAAGATGTATATTAGTCAACAATGGAACTCATATAATCTATCAATATTTTGCTTGCTTACTTGCTTACTTACGCCTGTTACTCCCAATGGAGCATAGGCTACCGACCAGCATTCTCCGACCCACTCTGTCCTGGGCCTTCTTTTCTAGTTCCATCCAATTCTTGTTCATTTTTCCCATGTCTATTTCCCTTTCCCGGCGTAATGTGTTCTTTGGTCTTCCTCTTTTCCTTTGACCTTGAAGATTCCATGTGACGGCTTGTCTTGCGACGCAGTTGGGTGCTTTCCTCAATGTGTGTTCTATCCACTTCCAGCACTTCTTCCTGATTTCTTCCTCCACTGTGATCTGATTTGTTCTCTCCCATAGTAGGTTGTTGCTAAAATATTCAAAACGCTAACCAGAAATCAATATTTTATAACAAGTTATATCTATAATAGCTACCTAAATAATTTTTTTAACGATATTTATGATACACATATCCATCGGTTAATATATTTTCGTTAATATGTATTGTCTATTTAGTAAATACAAACTTCAATGTAGAGTAGGTTGTTACTAACGAAGAGCAAATATTCCAGATGATGAGACCATTAAGAAACATTCGACAAGAAATACAGATGAGAGGCAAAAATCCACACTTTGGTAGGACCAAAATACACTAATTCGTTAAAGGCAAACAAACTTTTGAAATAAAATAATAGTTACTTATAAGTAATATGATGTAGTAATATTGAATTCGATGATGTAACGAATAATCATCGGATCGATGGTGATGGGTTCAATGTCAGTAAATTGGTTGCAACTTCTGTAGCCGCTAAATATAAAACCGAGTTAGGTTCAGGTGTAGCTACCATCCCACCGAGAAGTATATATGAGCATTGGTTGCAATTACATAACGCCATGAAAATGGTGAACAAAGTCGCTTGCGAAATGTCCCGCTGAATTTCTTCAGGCTCCTTATAATTCATTGAAGCCCGTCAGTCTACACCTGAAGGCCACAAGTTTGACTATAAACAAAGATTGTTACGCAATGAAATTGGGCAAAGACCGAGAAGCCTGGTGGTTGGAGTGTGCCAACGAATTGGAAGCAGTAGCTGCCTCTGGTAACTGCCGCAAGCTCTTTCAATTCATCTGAGGCACTGGTAGCAAGAAGTCTGGTGTGAGCAGAACAATCTGTAAAAATGACGAGATGATAATCACTAACATCTGTCGACGTCTTGGACGATGGGCAGAGTTTTTCGAGGAGCAGTTCAACTGGCCTGCTGCCCCAACAACATCGATCAGACTGTCCTGCCCTCCATGGCCTGTGACGACTGATTCACCTAATGAGGTAGAAATCGTCAAGAAACTTCAACTCTTGAAGCGCTGCAAATCACCAGGTTCATAAAACTTACCTCCTGTCCTTTTTAAAGATAATGGTGACTTTCTGGTCAAGGAACTGTTTGAGTTGTTTACAAAGGTTTGGAAGTTAAACAGTGTTCCAACATCATGAAATGAGTCGATAGTTGTCCTTATCTTTATAAAGGGTTTACGTCTTTTCTGTGACAACTGTCGAGGGATAAGTCTACCCACAATTGCATCCAAACTATTGGCTTCCTTCATAGTTCGTAGACTGTTCGAAACCCGAGAAAGATTGACTTTCGAGGAACAGGCTAGTTTTCGTTCTGGACGAGGATGTATTGATCACATCTTCACCCTCCGTTAAATGTTAGAAATCATTTGGAATAAAATGAATCAAACCAAATCTTCCTATCAGTTCAATAAGTTATTGATTTTTGGATGAAGTTGTGTTAATAGGTGTATACTCAAAAAAGGAGGTTACAGTTGCACAGATATATTCATTCCATAAATTTTTTTAAATATTGAGTCTCCACTTATATTTGAATCTTCTTTAGAAAACCCAATTCTTATGGTTGATCTTATTAAACAGATAGGTATTACTATCGATTCCATATATTTTGTGTATACATTGTTCAGATGTACATTTCTAACATAGTTTATATCGTTTTGATAGATTAACTTGTAATTAATCTGGGAACTATTAAATACACATAAAGTAGATACAAATTTTGTGATTCAATATATCAGTAGTTGAAATCATGAGTCAATTGAAGCTAGACCACCATGGAAAACCTGGAAGCACTGAATGGTCGTGAGCAGTGGCGTTCAACCTGGTCTGTTGTGAGATATCAGCTCACTGAATATAATGGTGAACGGTGGCGAAATTTCGTGGATTGGTTGAAGTTTGACATTAACACCATTGAATACCGACCAACTCAATGGTCTAGAGGTTAAACGTTCGTGTGCGACACCGATAGATCCTAGGTTCGAATCTTGCGAAACGGGATCATGAATGTGCACTGCTAAGGAGTCTCACAATAAGACGAAACGGGCGTTTTAAATGGTGGGCCAACTTCAATTGACTCATGATTTCAACTGTTGAAATTAATAAAATCTTCACAATGGTCCTTCTGATTCAATATATATTGTCTTAGATATGCTGTTGAAATTAATCATATGAAACATTTAATTGATGATGTTTGGAATTATCATGCTTATCAATGGATAAAATAAAGTTATATTTTATGGAACTATGAAATTCTTCTGTACAATCAGTGCGATAACATTTAATGCTTAATCGTTCATAACTTAACTACTTACGCAAGTTACCGCTCTTCGAGGAGCATAGGCGGCCCATCAGCATTCTCCATACAACACTTTCGTGAACAATCCTTTCCAGTTATTTTCAGTCACTGTTCATTCGTTTCATGTCTGCTTACAATTCCAGACTCAGTGTGTTCATTTGCCTTCCACGTTTCCTTTTCCATTCAGGATTCTATGTTATCACTTGCCTCGTGATGCAGTTCGATGATTCTTGTAATGTATGTGCTATCCACTTCCAAAGTCTATCCCTAATTTCTTCCTCAGCTAAAATTTGGTTTGTCCTCTCTCATACTAGGCTGTTGCTGATGGTATCCGATAAACGGACAATGATTATCTTACGCGGACAATTGTTTATAAATACTTGTACTTTCTTAATGATTGTTGTGGTAGTTCTCGAAGTTTCAGCTCCATACAGTAGAACTGTCTTGACGTTAGTATTGAAGATTATGACTTTGATATTGGTTGAAAGTTGTGTTCAGTCACATACGTTCTAAAATTGAAAGAATGCGGTCGTTGCTTTGCCATTCCTTATCATTACATCTGTAGTAGTAGTAGTAGTAGTAGTAGTAGTAGTAGTAGTAGTAGTAGTAGTAGTAGTAGTAGTAGTAGTAGTAGTAGTAGTAGTAGTAGTAGTAGTAGTAGTAGTAGTAGTAGTAGTAGTAGTAGTAGTAGTAGTAGTAGTAGTAGTAGTAGTAGTAGTAGTAGTAGTAGTAGTAGTAGTAGTAGTAGTAGTAGTAGTAGTAGTAGTAGTAGTAGTAGTAGTAGTAGTAGTAGTAGTAGTAGTAGTAGTAGTAGTAGTAGTAGTAGTAGTTCTAGTAGTAGTAGTAGTAGTAGTAGTAGTAGTAGTAGTAGTAGTAGTAGTAGTAGTAGTAGTAGTAGTAGTAGTAGTAGTAGTAGTAGTAGTAGTAGTAGTAGTAGTAGTAGTAGTAGTAGTAGTAGTAGTAGTAGTAGTAGTAGTAGTAGTAGTAGTAGTAGTAGTAGTAGTAGTAGTAGTAGTAGTAGTAGTAGTAGTAGTAGTAGTAGTAGTAGTAGTATACCTTCATAAATATATCACAATAGCTTTAGATGTGTTGTTGTTTGTTTGTTTTCATTCATCAAATGACTCACTAATGAGCAATTGTTTTGTTGTTTTGTTGTTTTTCTCTTTTTCAAATAAACAATGAACTTCATTGAAGATTCATTAAAGGTCACGGTCAACAATATGAATCATTCAATTAATGATAAATCACAGTTGGACTAGATACTGATGACCCATTTATTTATTTATTTTCAATTAATAAAATCATTTTCTGTTTATTTGAATAGTTTAATTATGATTAACCTTAAAATTCCTTTTTTGGGGGGAAGGGGGGTGGTTGGGGTAGTGAAGAGTTGTAGGACAATCACTTATTCAACTGGCATCGATAGGACAATCACAGTAGTTGATAACTTGAATGATCAATATTCCCTATTGCGTTATTGATGAAATTGACTTTTGACCTTTCTATTTTTTTTATGTTAAGTGGATTTTCATGTTCATGAATAACGGATGGTTGAATATACTTAAACATGTAGTTAAAAAATAATTGAAATAGAAGTGAATAAAAGATCGATAATCTATGTTGAATGATTGAAGGCCTACTTGAATTAGACGAGAACGGTGTGACAAACTAGCTAAATTCGAAGTCACATTTTAAGGTCAACATTTGATGTGGATTACTCCATCGACGTATCAGAGTACTATGGCTTCTATAAAGACCGTATAATACGGAAGACGTTTTTAAAGAAATATATTAATAAGATAGTGAGACCACCACCGTATGCGCCAGTTTATGACATTCAATCAACTGATGCGCGTTGGTTGTCCTTGACTTTGATTAGGATCGATGATCTGTTCGATATTCAGTGACACAAACTGCTGAATGATTTGGCTAGGCCTCAGTGACATTTCACTTGCCCTATAATAGCAATACAGACTACTTGTAAAATCCTTTTTTGCAGGTTTTGTGTGTGTGTGTGAAAATCCTTCCATACAAACACTTGTAATTTGTTCCTATTGATTTCTCTCGTAATACATGTTGTTAGTCTTTTTGATTCCATTCGAGATGGTAATATTTGTATTTTATTACATACTCACTTACTTACGTCTGTAACTCCCCAATGGAGCATAGGCCACAGATCAGCATTCTACAACACACTCTATCCTCGGCATTCCTTTTCAGTTCTGTCGAATTCTTGTTCATTCTTCTCATGTCTGTCTCCATTTCTCAGCGTATTCTGTTCTTTGGTTTTCCTTATCAACCCCTTTGACCTTGAGGATTCTATATGAGGGCTTACCTTGTGACACAGTTGGGTGATTTCCTCAATGTGTGTCCTATCCACTTCCAACGTTTCTTCCTGATTTCTTTCTCCACTAGGATCTGATTTGTTCTCTCCCATAGTAGGTTGTTGGTGATAGTATCTGGTCAACGGATCCGAAGTATTTTGCTAGACAGCTGTTAACAAGCATTTGTATCTTCTGGATGATGGTATTCGTAGTTTTCAAAGTTTCCACCTCATACAGTAGAACTTTCTTGACATTTGTATTGAAAATCCTAATCTTGGTGTTGGTTGACAATTGTTTTGAGTTTCAGATGTTCTTCATTTGTAGATATGCTGGTACTGCTTTGCTGATCCGCACCTTCACACCTGTATCAGATCCATCGTGTTCATCAATGATGTTGCACAGATATGTGATGGTTTTTGCATATTCCAAAGTTCCTCCGTCAAGTGTGATTCGATTGTTGTATGTTGTGTTGTATGGGCGAATCTTGTCTTTCATCCACCTAATAATTAGGACTAAATGAGGGTTATAAACCAGTGTGAGGAATTAGAATTATGATTTACAGTTGATGGTTAAGGTTAAGAATTAGATTTAGGGTTTTTATTCTGAACTGATATCAGCTAAAATGCCAAAACTCTTCCGAAATCTTCTCAGTCAAGTGTGATTCGATTGTTGCATGCTATGTTATATCGGACAATCTTGCTTTTCCCTTTGTGTATGTTGAGACATACTGCTGATTTGTATTTTATTATTGTTTTTAATATTTTCTTCCACTTTCACTGAGTCTCTATGTTTCTTCTTGAACTGTATTTATGTTGTTTCAGTTATTACTTAGTCTTGGCGGCAGCCATATATGTTTGTTCCTCCCTTTTGATTGTGTTACTTGCATTGACTGGAATTGTGCATTTTTTCATTATGAGTTGAAGCACTCTTCTAGAATTGGAAATACTCTCTGCGTTATAAAGCAACGAAATATTATCTTTCGAACGAATCTGTATGTGATCTGTCCAGACAAGATAGAATAACATTCATTTATTTCGATTGGTAATTTTTGCGCATCCTTTATCTACTGATGAATCCTACAATAGGACGAAACAGCCATCCACTGCTTCCAGGTATCCCATGGTTGTGGTCTAGCTTCAATTGACTCATGATTTCAACTACTGAAATTACTTTACCAAATTATTGATTTGTTAATATCAGATGGGTTTTGTGGATATTATAGTAATTTCAATGGTTAAGATCATGAGTCGGTTGAAGCTAGACCACCATGGAAAACCTGGAAGCACTGGACGGCTGTCTCGTCCTATTGTGGCACTCCTTGGCAGTGCGCATCCACGACCTCGCCCCCCTGTGACATTCGAACCCAGGACCTAGTGGTTTTGTGCGCGAGCACTTAACCACTAGACCACTGAGCCGGCATACAACGGTTGTAATTTAGATTTGGTTAATAATTGAATAATTATTAGTTGGTAATAATTGTTTAGGTAATCATGTACATTTATAATTATAATAAAATCCAGAATCATCATTTACTTAATCAACTTGTTTTGGTTTTGATATGATGCAAAGAAAAAGTCAATTTTCGATTGATTTACTCATTATGAGTATCTTTTCTACTAGAATCGTTTTCGTCGTCTTCGTCGTCTTTTGGGGTTAATAAATCATCACTTATACCAGTCTTTATGTTCTTACTTTCGTGTCGTACGAATTGCAGAGGTCCCTTGTTCCGAATATAAGTGATAAGTGTTTCCAACATAACAATCAGCGACGATCAGATACAAAAAATTAGTATTAAACGAGCCAAGACAATAAACATTCAAACAACAAGTTCTAACAGGTTTCAATTAGTCAATAGTACTTATCTAAACTATCTAGACTTTTATTCTTTAGTCCAAATCTTAGTTTGGATTCTATACTACTATTTCGTTTTATTACAGTTATTTATGTGAACGTTCAATTCAATATTATTATTATTATTATTATCATTATTGTATATTGGCAAGCTATTCGGGTAATAAAAATGAAAACTGTAATAAAATGCGGGAATAATTGTATAATTGATTCATTAAATGTATATAAGAATAAAATGATGGGAAATCTATGATTATGTTTTTCTCCCAACATTTGGTGTAAGTTGAAGATTATTCTCACTGTATTTAAAAATGGTATTAATAGTAGTAATAACAGTAGTAGTGAGTTATGTTGTTAGGATTCTCAAGCTTTCTTAATGATTCCTTAAAATAACTTACTTACTTACTTATGCCTGTTACTCCTCGTGAAGGAGCATAGACCACTCACCAGCATTCTCCATCCAACCCTGTCCTAAGCAATTCTTTCAAACTCTTTCCAATTGTTATTCATCGTTTTCATATCTGATTCTATTTTTCAACGTAATGTGTTCGCTGACCTCCCTATTTTCCGCTTCCCTTCAGCATTCCAAGTTACGGCTTGCCTCGTGATATAATATGGTGATTTCCATAATACATGTCCTATCCATTTCCATCTTCTTTTCCTAATTTCCCCTTCATCTGGAAGTTGATTTGTTCTCTCCCACAGTAGACTGTTGCTGATAGTATCCAACCAATGGATGTTGAGTATCTTGCATAGACAACTATTCATAAATACTTGTACTTTATTGATGATTGTTGTTGTAGTTCTCCAAGTTTCAGCTCCATACAGTAGAACTGTTTTGACGTTCGTATTAAAGATTGTGACTTGAATATTGTTTGACAGACATTTGTTTTGAATTCCATATATATTCTTCAATTATAAGAATGCTGTCCTTGCTTTCTCAATCCACGCCTTTACGTCTAACGGTTACAATTCCTAGCTCTCAGCCAAGCGGCTCGGTGTTTAACTCCCTGCGCGGCTTAGTTTTTAACTCTGCCTATAACTTTTCTAGAGTTACTACCGGTTGCAAGTTCGGATAAAGAAGGAGGGTTGTGCATGAGGTTAGCAACCTTCCCCCCCCGCCGTAGAAAACTAACTCGTCCTCCCCCCCCCAAAAAAAGACCAATAAACAATTCAAATCTATTATTAGTAATATTATTATATAATCTAATGAAATGAGTTATTTTATCAAAACAAAAATGTACAATTATACAATTGTTTATTGTGATCGTCTATAAGAAAAGAAAAGAAGAAAAGAAAAGAAAAGAAGAAAAGAAAAGAAGAAAACAAACAAAGAAACAAACAAACAAACAAAAAATCAATAATCGAACGAATTTCTTTAAACAAAATCAGTAGAAATTGATGAAATATTATCATGATTTGAATCATAATGTGAAGAATTCGATTGTTGTTGTTGTTGTTGTTGTTGTTGTTGATTGTTTATCATATACATAAGTGTATTCGCATTATTATTATTATCATCCATTGAATCTTTAGAATCATTTATGATTGAGTTATCTATTATGATATCATATTTAAAAGATTTCTTATCATTGAATTGTTTATCAATAAAATCAATTAAATTAATTGGTATTATTGATTGATTACCATTTTCTATTGATTTATTGATTTGTTTATGATTAAATTGATTTAATAATAAAGATTGATTATAATGATCAATAATATTTGTTGAATGATTTAAATAGAATACAGATAAATTATCATTATTATTCTGATTAGATTGTTTATTAAATGTTTGTAATGTATTAGGATATTGGTTAATAATAGTATAATCAGAACAGTTTGATGATGTAGCAGTAGTAGTAGTAGTAGTATGAGTACTAGTAGTATGAGTGGAAGTAGTCGAAGTAATAGAAGGTGTAGATGGTGTAGAAGTAATACAAGGTGTAGAAGTTATCATAAAAGATTGATTATCTGAAAGACAATTACCTATTTTATGTTGAATTGTATGTTGTGGTGATACAAGTGTTGTTGATTTACTTGATGGAATATTTGATTGAATATTAGAAGTCAATGAAACTAAATGAATAAAATAGAAATAAATGAATTGAATACAAGTAATAATTTAAAAGTATCACGTATGGAATGTTTACAAATGCGTTTTTTTAACGGGTTCTAGGAGACTTGTCAGCCACTTTGCTATAGAATGGTAAGGGGATCCTGACATATCGTGAATTGGTCTAAGAGGTAGGCTAAGTTTGTGTATTTTTGGCAAACCGTATAATCGCGGTATTATTGATGCTGTTGGTTGTTGATCTCAAAACCAATCAATGAGAAAAACAAGACTGAAATTATAGTAAAGCAACTGATTGAACTTCTTAAGAGAATGAAAAATTAGCAGTTAATCAACGAACAGGTCTTTGGCGCATAAAACTAACAGCATCAATAATATCGCGATTATAAGGTTTGCCAAAAATACACAAACTTAGCCTACCTCTTAGACCAATTCTCGATATGTCAGGATCACCTTACCACTCTATAGCAAAGTGGCTGGTAAATCTACTAGAACCCGTTAAAAAACGCATTTGTAAACATTCCGTACGGGATACTTTTGAATTTATCGAGCACATAAAAGAAGTGAATGTATGTGACAAAATTATTCTATTTCTGGATGTCGAATCATTATTCACTATTGTTCCACTCACAGAGACCATTAATTTTATCTACAACTAATTATTATTGTCTATTTTTAATAATGGGGATATGTGGAGATTGTAATATTTTCACAATTGAAATCATAAGTCGATCTAAGCTAGATCATCACTGAAAATCTGGAAGGACTCTTCAGTAGTGCACACCTATAATCTTACAAGTAGGATTCGAGCTCAAGACTTTCGGTTTCGTGCATGAGCGCTTAACCTCTAGACTAATGAGCCAGTTTCCAACGGTGTTAATGTCTTTGATTGAGATGATGAACCGACTGATGTTAGACCACCGTTGGAAACTTCGAAGCACTGGACGGCCGTTTCGTCCTATTGTGCGACTCCTCAGAAGTGCGCATCCACGACCCCGCTCACAGGATTTGAACACAGGGCCTTCGATCTCGTGCGCGAATGCCTAACCTACTGGACTACTGAGCTCATTAGTGACTAGCTTCGTGGGACAATTCTCGGAGTTCTAGTGAGTAGCCGTGACCAGTGGAGCTAATCCATGTCGGGTAGAGACAGGCATCTACCTCAGTACAATAGAAGATGGTCGCGCAATTACGTGTATTGGTTGATGTTAGACACTGTCACCATTGGATGTCGGCTCAATGGTCAAGTAGGTTAAGCGTTCGCGCGCGAGACCTAAGGCATTGTGTTCGAATTCCGCGAGCGGGATCGTGGATGCGCACTGCTGAGGAGTCCCACAATAGGATGAAACGGCCGTTTTTAACCTTGTTTAAGTTTCTTTAAAAGTGAACACCTATGAAATGGTTTTCCGCAAATGATTCAACTTAATGAGAAGTTATAGATAAGGAATAATTAATTCATTTTTGTATTAGTTGTTTAGATCCTCCTCCTCCTCTATTGTTGGCATATGTACATCCTCTGCAGATTGACTAGATATTGCCTTAAGTCACAAGTATTATAAGCAAAGATGGATGATGGAGTACCAACTCTCGAATGCAAGTATATCCATCTAATGAGTCCCATATAGGACGAAATATGAATGCTGAATTCCATTGCTAAACACAAACATCTCTGCTTATAAAGGTAAATAAGGTTCTTATTGAATACTCATTTCATATCAATTTACTAAATACTCTCTTTTTATAAATGAAATCTATTCTGAGAATAGAATAATGAAGCATATATATTCTATATAAGTTAAATTTTACACAACTATACTGTAATAATATTGAATGCATCCTATAAAACTAAATAAAAATTCAAAACTGACCTTGATGTTGCTGTTCTTGTGGTTTGTTATGTTCTTCTTTATTTGATGATAAAGGAGATAATGACTTGAAGTAACCAAATAAAACAATAGAAAGTAAGAAAAGATTAGTTCAACATTCAGAAGAAGAAAGAACATATATAAATAGTTGAAATCATGAGTCAATCGAAGCTAGATCATCATCAAAACCTGGAATCACTGGATGATCGTTTTGTCCTATTGTGTAAATCCTATTCAGTGCACATCCATGCTCCCGCCTCGCGAGACTTGAAACCAAAACCTATCAGTCTTGCGCGAAAACGCTTAACCTCTAGACCATTATACCTGCTAGCGTCCATTGGTGTTAATGTCTAACTTTAACAAATCCACGAAGTTGCGCCACCGTCCATCATTGTCATCAGTGAGTTACTATCTTACAACAAATCTAGGTTGAACTTCATTGATCACAACTTTACACTACAATTCCAAGAAATATCCCTTGAAGGGGTATATTAATAATCTCAATAGTTGATTGGTTGAAAAACAACAAGATAAATCAACCAATAAGATTGTTCGGATAATCTAGACATGATTTCTTTTTTCAAGCTACTTCCTTTTAACTGTGAATAGTTTAGATCTAAATGGTAATTTTACTGTTTTTAAGGAAATATATCTAAAATGAAAAGTATCATTCTGATTGACATAAATGATATAACCGGAAATATTGAGATAAGATATTCTATTGTCAATCATTATATAAAACATTTGTTAACTATTGAATAAGAATTGATCAATATCAACTTCTATTGTAATGAATAAGAACAACAATAGTAGGGATAATCTAATGTATTTGACTACAAACGTATTGAATCACTTAGTTAAAACTGAGTATTCTATGGTAAATAATTCATTTACAATATCACTGGTTGAAATAATGAGTCAATTGAAGCTAGACCACAACCATGGAAAACCTAGAAGTACTGGATGGCTGTTTCGTCCTCGTATGGGATTTCTCAGTAGTGCGCATCCACGATCCCCCCCCCGTGAGATTCGAACTCAGGACCTACCAATCTTGCGTCAGGCGCTTAATCAACTAGACCACTGAGCTAGCATCCAACCCCTCAGGCGTGAGGTTGATAGGTCCTGGGTTCAAATCTCGCGAGGTGAAGTCGTGGATGCGCACTGCTGAGGAGTCGCATACTAGGACGAAACGGCCGTCCAGTGCTTCCAGGTTTTCCATGGTTGTGGTCTAGCTTCAATTGACTCATGATTTCAGCCAGTGAACTTTCTAAAATCTTCACAAAACGCTTTCTGCTAATCATTTACAATATGTCAATCAATAGTTTTAGACTTGATTGTTCATTTGTTTGCACAGCAATTATTCTCTGTTCTCATCCTGTTTTCTTCGATCTTATTAACCTTCTGCTACTGGACATTTCACTCTTGATTGATGATACATATTACTTATATCTGTCGATATCAGTAGCATATATTACATACTAAGTACATTTTCATTATGTATTACACTAATATTATGGATAAGAACTAGTGATGTATTGAATAATCTTCAATTTGTTTTACTAGTGATTATTCAAGTAACAAACATTATTATTTGTGATAGGATTAAATTGAAGGAATGAGTTTAGTGTGCCTAATCGATATATCTTCGATCCACATAGTTCTAAGCCTTTAAACTGAACCATTAATGGAGAGGTATAGAATTCGCACTTAAGTAAATAATTCAAGTACTCAGCTTTCAACAATTGAACACTACTTAATCCAATCTGTACAGTTAAATAGTAATAATCAGCATATGTCTGTGACCCTGAATTGCAATGAGAATAAATTGCCTACCTCACAATGGTTTGTAATTTACTTTGGTTGAAATTTAAGACTGAGTGAGACTATAATTTATGGCCAACCTTTGGGCGACGCTGAAATGGCTTTGAGAATGTCCACCTACTGATTAGGGTTGAATGAGGGTTTTAAACCTGCGTGAAAGATAAGGATTGTGATTTATAGTTGATGGCTAGGGATAGGGATTAGATTTAGGGTTTTCATCACGAACTGACTTCAGCTAAAATGTCAAGACTCTGTTTAGCCAAATGGACGAAGAATTTCGCACCGACATCCAAGACCTGTTATCGTAATTCTGATTGGTTCGTCCATACATTATAGTCTCGTCTAAGACTGTTATGCCATATATTCATCTTTAGTTGATGACATCAATATAACCTTTATCATTAATAATCACAGTTCGAACGTTTTGAAACTTATGACTAAATGGGTTTAATCAGGTAAATCATTCAGAATGTACATGAAGTGATAGAGGCTGATTAATCTCAGTCTTGAATTTCAACAACAGGAAATTAAAAACTATTCATCACACTTTCATTCCTATTGAACAAGTGAGTTATCACCTGATCTGAATGTATTAGTAATTAACGTGTTTGCGTTTGAGACATTTGACTATCAGGTTCGAGTTCCATTGTGAACTTAACACTAAGATGGAGATTTATCCACATGAAAAGTTTCATATAAAATGATACGTCCACTTTGGTCCACATTGTCAGGTATAATCTAATTATGTAAAAATACATTATCTGTTTCGGTAAATTACCACAATTTTCAATACAAATGTCAAGATAGTTCTACTGTATGGAGAAGAAACTTGGAGAACTACGAAAGCAATCATCCAGAAGATACAAGTGCTCATTAACAGCTGTCCAACAAAATACTTCGAATCCGTTGACGAGACACTATCAGCAACAACCTACCATGGGAGAGAACAAACCAGATCTCAATGGAGGAAGAAATCAGGAAGAAGTGTTGGAGGTGGATAGGACACAGATTGAAGAAAGCATCGAACGGCATCACAAGGTAAGCCCTCATTTGGAACCCTCAAAGCCAAAAGGGGTGATGAGGAAGATCAAAGAACAGAATATGCTGAGAAATGGAGACATACATGAGAAGAATGAACAAGAAATGGATAGAACTGGAAAGGGATGCCGAGGATAGAGTGTGTTGTACAATGCTGATCTGTGGCCTATGCTTTTGAGTCACAGTAAAATGATCTTGAGGATGTCCACCTATTTACTAGGACTAAATTGTGAGGGTTATAAAGCAGTGCGACAAGTTAGAATTATGATTTACTGGTGATGGTTAAGGTTAGGAATAAGAATTAGAGTTTTCATCATGAACTAACATTAGCTATAATACTGAAATGGTATTTATTATACCCTAGTGAAGATCTTATTACGAGTAACTTCTTAGGCCTATTAATAGACTAATATTATATAGATATTCCAATTGTATAACTGTTCAGTAACTACATTATGTATATTTATATTTCTCTTATTATAAGCTTCATTATGACCTTGCAGAGTATTTCGATGATACGATTTAATGTTCCTAAGTTATGTTCAGCTTATTTATTACCGCCTCCCCCTCCCTATAATCACAGGCACTTTTTGGCTTGATCATGTACAAAGGTTATTTCCTATTTTACGGTATGACGTGGCCTGTTCAGCCGGTATATGTATATCTGAAATAAATGATTCGCATAGCGAAAGGTATAATCGGTATTCTAAACTCAACTGGACGGGCTAGGCAAACAAACGACCAATAATGACGCTAGACCGGTTGAACGTCAATGATTGAATACAGTAAAAGAGTGAATAAGTCATATTTTGATTACTCAATAAATTATATGATAACTAACCGAATATAAAATCGTAACAGTATTTAACTAAATGATTATATATATGAATCTCGCGCCAAAATCTATGACCTTCTATCTTAAATCTGATTGGTTCACCTATAAATAAATAAACAATCAATATTGTAACTTACCTGATTATTATTATTATTATTATGTGGTATTACAATATATTCCCAACTTCTAGCAGTTTTTAATTGATTTATTTCATTTAAATTATGATCATGATTATTATTATTATCATTCATTGATCCATTCAATAAATTCATTGAATTATCTAATTTCTCTGATTTTTTTAATTTTAACGATTGTGTAAAATAATTAGGATCAATTTTATTATTATGATTATTATGATTATTATTATTACACATGATACTATTAATCGTATCTGTTGCCATGGTAACATTATTCGTATTATTTATTATATCTATTGTTGATATATTCATTGGTAATATTGATTTATTTTTTAAATCTTCATCATTCATCATTGTTTTACATAAATTCAATGAATCATTATTATTGTTACTATGATGAGATTGTTGTAAATAATCAAGATTCGAATTGATCAATGTACTACTATTACTGTTACTACTTATATGTTGTTCATATTGATTATATTGTGGTAATGTATAATTATTAGAATCTTGTTTATTAATAATCCAATATTTTTCATAATTTTGTTTTAATTCATTATTATTATTGATTGGCATTGTTAAATATATTGATTGTTTATCATTGATTATTGGTAATGTTTTTTGATAATTTCTATATGATATATATTCATTGAATGGTAAAAATGTTGTATAATTTTCATGATTTTTTTGTTTATTTTTTAATGAATTATTTTCTTCCATCAATATTGATTTTAAGGATACATTACTAAATTGATCAATATATGGATTATTTTCATTATTGAATAAGATCGATTGATTGGAATGATATTGATTATTGATTATTGATTTATTAGGATATAATATTGTATTATTATTATTATTATTATTATGATTTGTATGATATTTTGAATGTAATATATTTTTCCAATTAAATTTATTATCAGTTAATTTGATATTATTTAATGAATTATCATTACGTAATAGATATTGCATTCGACCATTTCTATTACTACTATTATTATTAGTAGTAGTAGTATTATTATGATAACGAAAACTTTGAAATCCTCGTCGACCGCATACATATACAGTAATGCCTAATAATACAAGTATAATAGCACAACTTAATGCAACGATAGCAACTAATATAGAACTAGTATTGAATGGATTATTCTCATCATAATTATGAAATTCATTGGTTTTCATTAATTTCTCATGATCATTGATTAATGAATAATATTGATTATCTTTGAAACGACGATGTAAATTTAATGATTTAATATCATTATTTAATAAATTTGTAGAATGATGTAAATTAGTAAATCGATTCGAATATATACGTGGTGGTGAATCAATTATCTATATATGAAAGGAGAAGGGGGGGTGATGGGGAAAATAATAGAAATAATCAATTAAAAAATCATTTAGAATGATACTTGATTGATTTTCTGACAGAAGAATATATTGGATAGTAACTGTTAAGAGTTATTTTTTTGCTAGGGTTGAAGCTATCACGAGTTCACTTAATCTACGAACAAGAAACAAGACTCGGTGACTAAAGACCAGTAAGTTAGCTATTGTAGCGTTTAAGCCCCGTTAACTATAGGGAGAAGTTCAAGCTTGGAATGGGGAAGTATATTCTGCACACAGCCAGAAACGAGCGATCACAACAAACACTAATTCAATACGTATATATACAGTACAAAACCGTTCTTGGAGAGTTTTACCAAACAGCATACTAAAAAACGCAACGGACCAATAGCATTTAAGATATTTTCCAGTGGGAAATACGACATCAAAGTGACAAGAGCGCCTTTGGCGCGAAAATAAAGAAATTCAAATTTTCTAAATAAAATTACAAAATTAGATTCCTTATCCAAGTGAGTTCTGGGGATCTAACTTCTCCAACATTTATGAACTATCATTATATAGATTTCTATTGGATAACTACTAAGTAATTAGATTATATTGAAGATGTTATAGGTATTTGTAGTTTGACAACACCTTAACCAGTAACATTTTCTATAAATGAATTGTGCTCACCTAGTGAAATCAAAAGTCAGAAGTGAAGAGGTTTGAAGATATATTTGATAGGCTATCAATCTATCGAGAATCAAGTGATTTGGGCTAGCTAACGATTGTAAAGGATGTTGAGCATAGCGTTCCCACTCATGATCTGGTGCAGATGCATAACCGAGCTCCTTCAGCTAGATAAGTACATTAAAACTAATGTGATCAGTATCTAAATGTTGAAGACTTATAAAGCTATTGTTTTTAAGGATTTATTTACCGCTACAATATGTATGTATGTGAATCCTCAAGGCGAAAGGAAAAGAGGAAGACCAAAGAACACATTACGCTGAGAAATGGAGATAGACATGAGAAAAATGAACAAGAATTGGATGGAACTAGAAAAGAATGCCCAGGACAGAGTGGGTTGGAGAATGCTGGTCGAAGGCCTATGCTCCATTGGGAGTAACAGGCGGAAGTAAGAAGTAAGTAAGTAAGTACAATATGTATGTTCGTATTTGTTTTGTTATAAGTTTTTAATTCCATCTATTGGTTACTGTTATATGATTTTCTATTATTCATTTATTCCCATTCTATTCGTTACAGTCTTCTGTACTCATATACACTTTTTGGCTTGAACTTGTATAATTTTTATTTATGGTATGCTGCGATCTGATTTGTTTGAATATAAACTAAATCTGTCTGCAATATACGATTCATGTAGTGGTTCCTGATATTTTTGTTATGGACCGAGCTAGGCGATAAACGACTATATAGAAGACTAATGAAGACTTAGAATTGACATAAAGTTGTTAGTGTTGATTGACATGTTATTGATTCAGCACAAAGACAAGGTCATAAAAGTCGATATTCTAATTAGTGTTATTTTATAGGTCATGGCACATGACAGATAGAAGTTCCATTTTAATCAGATAGGAATAAATTTTGACATTTCTAGATTTAAAGAAAAAGGACATTACCTTGAGACTTATGAGTCTTTATCTTCAAACACATAGTCAATTTGCCATAATAGTTAATCATTATTCTAAGCGGTAACTAGTAATGATTTCTCTTAGACTATCGGTATAACTGATGTTTAATAAAATGAACGATCCATATTCATTAAGAGTACTTTCGATTACTTTCATGAATATTATTTAATGTCAGTTAAAGATATAGCTGATATTGTATTATACACTTCATGTTGATAAATTCCGAATTTAAAATCTGATAATGATTAAACATACAATGAGTTCATGATCTCAATTAAAAACTTAATAATTTCCACAACCCTATACTGATAATTACCATATGCTCAATAGTGACTAGCTTCGTGAGTGAATTCTCGAAGTTCTAATGAGAAGCCGTGACCAGTGGAGCTCATTCGTGTCAGATAGAGACGGGTATCTACCTTAGTACAATGAAAGATGGTTGCGCGATTTCGTGAATTGGCTAAAGTTAGATATTCACACCGTTGGATGCCGACTGGTTCAATGGTCTACAGGTTAAGTGTTTGCGCGCGGGATCGTGGATGCGCATTGCTGAGGAGTCCCACAATAGAACCGAAAAGCCGTCCAGTGCTTCCAGATTTTCAGTGGTAGTCTAACATCAATCGCTTCATGATCTCAATCAAAAACGTAATCATCTCCAAAACCCCTTACTGACAAACATTCAAAAAACACAACTTCTTGATGTTTGATTATTTTCCTGAAGATGTTCAGACAAGACTGTTCAATAGTTGTATATATATATAATTTTAATAGCTGATAGTTTGCAAAATCTTATTCCCGTTTTTCTTTTTTTTTTTAAATTTAGAACAATTCAGTAACAATCATATGAGTATCAAAATTACTCACATTTATCTACATACAAACATTCCTGTGTATATACACATGGTAATAGACTTACTACTCATGTACTTTAACTACAGAATGATATGTTTTAATGTGTTTTTTTATTCCCTCATAAAACCATATCCGATACCGATATTCAATGAGAAGGTTAAATAAGACAATCACAGAAAGTGAGCGAGAGAGGGGGGGAGGCGAGAGAGAGAGAGAGACACAAACACACACAAGTTTAGTTACTTAGATAGAAACAGTATAAGTAAAATTATTTTCTATCATAGTAAATAAAAGAAAAAAAAATAAGCTGAGAATAAGAATAAAACCGGAAATTTAAATGTTTGTCTATTTTGTAAAGTTTCTTTAAAGACTATTATTTGTTGGTGTTGTTGTTGTTGTGTTGATATGTAGTCTACAATGTAACAGCTTGGATACATATATCAATATATATACTTACTTACTTACTTACGCCTGTTACTCCAAATGGAGCATAGGCCACTGATCAGCATTCCATAACACACTCTGTCCTGGGCATTCTTTTCTAGTTCCATCCAATTCTCGTTCATTTTTCTCATGTCTATCTCCATTTCTCGGCGTAATGTGTTCTTTGGTCTTCCTCTTCGTCGCTTCAGCCTTGAGGATTCCATATGAGTGCTTGTCTTGTGACGCAGTTGAGTGCTTTCCTCAATGTGTGTCCTATCCACTTCCAGCGCTTCTTCCTAATTTCTTCCTCCGCTGGGATCTGGTTTGTTCTCTCCCACAGTACGTTGTTGCTAATAGTGTCCGGCCAATGGATATGACGTATTTTGCGTAGACAATTGTTAATAAACACCTGTATTTTCTGGATGATGGCTTTCGTAGTTCTCCAGGTTTCTGCCCCATACAGTAGAACTGTATTAACATTTGTATTGAAAATCCTGACCTTGGTGTTGGTTGATAGTTGCTTTGAGTTCCAGATGTTCCTCAGTTTTAAATATGCTGCTCTTGGTTTGCCGATCCGCGCCTTCACATCTGCATCAGATCCACCGTGTTCATCAATGATGCTGCCCAAATACGTAAAGGTTTTTACATCTTCCAAATCTTCTCCGTCAATTGTGATTGGATTGGTGCATTCTGTGTTGTATCGGAGAATCCTGCTTTTCCCTTTGTGTATATTTAGACCTACTGCTGCTAAGGCTGCTGCCACACTGTTCCTCTTCTCCTGCATTTGTTGTTGCGTTTGGAATAGAAGAGCCAGATCATCATCATACATATAGGTAAATTCTATTACACAATTAGTTATGATTTCAAGTGAACAAAACAAATAATCAAGAATAAATCATTGATTTAAAATGAAGTGAGAAAAAAAATAAAGAAAACCATAGTGATAAACATAGACAAGTTAGTAATTGCATATCGTTATGACCAAATCTATGACGTTGATAGTTAGTAACCAAATCAAGTAAAATAGTGACAGTACTTTGTTGATAAGATTAAATATTACTAATTAACAGTGAATCATGTGATTTAAAACTTTATCGTTTAACGATCTATTCATCTGACATTAGGCCATCAACTGGGAAGGTAGAAACTTTCAAAAAGCAATTCTATCGTTAGATGATGATACCTATTTGGATTCTGTATTCATTATGTATTAATTGTTGTTTTATAAGATGGTAGTTGAAAGTAGTCAACAGGAAACCTTGGACCTAAGTTTTGTGCTACTTGGTATTTATCAGCAAGTATATCTCAGTCTTACAGAAAGTCAGTAATGGCCTAGACAGCTCAGTGGTAACGTTTCTCAATATGAAGCTGTGTAACACGGGATCGAATCCGTCAGGGAGCATCAGTTCCAACAAGATTACAGGTACATCTTGATGATGAGTTCTAAAATAGCACAAAATCTAAGTCCGGGGTTTCTTGTTGATTACCTCTAATCACTATTTTATCTCAACATAGTGCATGTAATCTCAAGTTATCTAAACTGGTGGCCGAATTGACACATTGTCGATAGGATTTGATCTGAACTAAGAAGAACCTGGCATAGATGACATTGATCACTACCCAATGATCAATCAATTGTTATTGTTATTATTTACTCTACTGTTGATAAATTACAGTTAATTAATTATATGCCCGATATTTACTTTTGTATCATAAATGACTTAGTTACATACAAAATATGATTTCTTGTCATTGGTTCTTTATGGCCTTAAAACTAATATGCATTATCATAATACTGATTGAGATTATGAATCGAGTGATATTAGACTACCACTGAAAACCTGGGAACATTGCATGGCTATTTCATCCTATTATGGGACTCCTCAGCAATGCTTAATAATCTCCATAATAGTCTTAATTATATCTGGAATGAAGAAGACTTATCATTAATAGGCTCTATAATTTAATGATCCCGTTTAGTGAAGATAAAAACGTTCCATGGATATGAATTACTGAAGAATAGGAAATTTCATTGAAACAATTTTTTGATGTACAGTTGGTTTTACAGTTCATTATGACAAATACTTATGTAATAGTAGTGGATTGACTTTAGATGTTGTAAAAATGATGAGTCCATTGAAGCTAGACCACCATGGAAAATCTAGAAGCACTGGACGACCGTTTCGTCCTAATATGGGACCTCTCAGCAGGTCTGTTGTGAGATAACAACTCACTGAAGCAATGGTGTACGGTGGCTCAACTTCGTGGATTGGTTGAAGTTAAACATTAACACCGTTGGATGCCGGCTCAGTGGTCTAGTTGGTTAAGCGTCTAGCGCGAGAGTGATAGGTCCTGGGTTCGGATCTCGCGAGGTGCGGGATCGTGGATGTGCAGTGTTGGGGAGTCCCATGCTAGGATGAAACGGCCGTCCAGTGCTTCCAGTTTTTCCATGGTTGCAGTCTAGCTTCAATTGACTCATGATTTCAATAAGTGAAATTTCTAAAAATCTCCACAAAACCCCTTCTGGTTATAAAAATGATCACAAATGTGTATATATCAATAAGTGTACTTTAGATAAAAAGTTACTTAATATGTGGGGGCAGTGGTGGTGGTGGTGTGGTGGTTCTGATTTCCATCTAGACAGGAATATCAATAGGAATTTCAGAAAAAAAAAGAAACTGCAATTGTAGTCATAATGGATGTAGGCTAATATTATGAAATGATGGAGGTATACGATAGATTTAATTGATAGTGGTTATAATGTAGATAAATTGGAATTATTTCGAATGATCTCATGTAATAGATGAAATAGCATAGAAACAAAACTTCAGTTACTTCTATAATTATAAATGATTAGTTCTAATTAGTGTATGGTATTGATAAGATTGAAACAATTTTAGGTTGTCATTGTCAGATTAGATATATTACAGCAGAATTTATGTTGATAATGTTAAGTTTACAGCAGCCTTAGCAACAGTAGGTCTCAACATACTCAAACGGAAAAGCAAGATTCTCCGATGCAATACAACATACAACAATTGAATCACGCTTGATAGAGAAGATTTGGAAGATGTAAAAAAACATTCACATATCTGGGTAGCGTCATTGATGAACACGGTGGATCTGATACAGATGTGAAGGTGTGGATCGGCAAAGCAAGAGGAGAATATTTACAACTGGAGAACATCTGGAACTCAAAACAATACAGTTCTGCTGTATGGGGAGGAAACCTCGAGAACTACTACAAACACTATCCAAAAGATAAAAGTGTTTATTAACAGTTGTTTACGCAAAACACTTCGGATTCGTTGACCAGACACTATCAGCAACAGCCTACTATGGGAGAGAACAAACTAGATTGCAGTGGAGGAAGAAATCAGGAATAATTTCTGGAAGTGGATAGGACACACATTTAGGAAATCACCAAACTGCATCACAAGACAAGCCCTCACATGGAATCCTCAATGCCAAAGGGGGTGATGAGGAAGACCAAAGAACACAATACGCTGAGAAATGAAGACAGACATGAGAAGAATGAACAAGAATTGGATATAACTAGAACGGAATACCGAGGACAGAGTGTGTTGTAGAATGCTGGTCTGTGGCCTATTCTCCATCAGAAACAACTACTAATTTAATTTAAATGAAACCCTAACAGAAAAACTGTATCAGTATAGGGTTGTGGAGATTATTAAGTTTTTGATTGAGATCATGAACCTTTAGAGGTTAGACCACCATTGAAAACCTGAAAGCACTGGGTGGCCGTTACCAGTGCAGGTAATCCGTGTCGGATAGAGACAAGTATCTACTTCAGTACAATGAAAGATGGTTGCCAAATTTCGTGGATTGGTTGAGGTTAAACATTCACACCGTTGGATGCCGACTGGTTCAGTGGTCTAGAACGTGAGCATTCGCGCGCGAGACTGGAAGCCCTGGATTCAAACTTTGCGAGTGGAATCGTGGATGCGCATTGCTAAGGAGTCCCACAGTAGGACGAAACAGCCGTCCAGCGCTTCCAGATTTACAATGGTAGTCTAACATCAATCAATTCATGATCTTAGTCAAAAACTATAAAGACAGAATATAGTTTGGTTGATTTCAATATATTCGGATATTTCTGTAATACAATTTATAGACTAGTCAAGTTAAAACTCAAAAAATTGATTTTGTAAAAGTAAAAACAAAAAAAATCACTTACTCTAACCATTAGTTTCACTTCTGTTGTACGTGATGGAATACCAGCGTCTTGTATATGTATTACTAATGGATATAAACCAATATCTTGTATAGTTAATTCACGATCAATTATTAATTCAGCTGATGTACTACCAAGACGAAAGACTGAAGCTTGATTACCAGAATATAAATTGAAATGTAATAAAGAATTATGTCCTTCATCGGGATCACGTGCTTCAATTCGTGCTACTATCTGAAAGAGATTAGTAAGTTACATTACAATATGATACAAAAACATGAAAAGCGTGACGAAAATTACACAGTAGTATGTAAACACATAACGGAGGAGGAAATCAGGAAGAAGCACCGGAAGTGGATAGGGCACACACTGAGGAAAGCATCCGGCTGTGTCACAAGACGGACCTTTATTTGGAATCCTCAAGGAAAAGATGAAAACCAAAGAACCCATTACGCCGAGAAATGGAGATAGACATGAGACGAATGAACAAAAATTGGATAGAACTGGAAAGAAAGGGCAAAGACAGAGTGTGTTGGAGAATGCTGGTCAGCGGCCCATGCTCCATTGGGAGTAACAAGCGTAAATAAAGTAAGTAAGTAAAATGTGAACATATAATTTAATAGTAGATAGAATATCATCATGTATCACTACACAGTGATCGATTTTAAACGACGAAACTCAAGGTCTCTAACTATAAAATAGTATTGTATTGTGTCTCTTGAGTACAAATTGAGCTGAGTAGCTTTAACTCGTTCTGAATCATTGGTATTTAATGGAATAATTTGCAAATTGTACAGAACTACGTGGGATTCTAGGAAAATCGGGTGTAACAGCTCGATTATCACTGTAGGTCTTATCTTTACTCACTAGACATAGACTTCAGGGGTCTTCTTTTTGTTCCCAATCGATAATGAAAACTAAAACAGTAATGAATCATTTCAAAAGTCTAACGATTGATCAATCGTAGAGGGAACAGAGCATTGGCTTTTGACTTGAGTGAACAAATTTATTATAATATTAATTCATCTTGTATTGATTGTTTGGATCTCCTTATTGATTTTTAAAGACTACAATGGATCAGTCAGTTTTGGTATATGTGCATTCTAGTCGAATTGTCTCAATATTTCCAGGAAATCACAAGCATTCAAAACAGAGATGGATAGTGGAGTGAATATCAACTCTTGGGTTCAGATACATTCACCTGAAGAGTTCGAACTAGGACGAAACATGGGGCCTGGATTCCACTACTAACCATCATTCATCTTTGTTTCAAAGTTAATAAAAGATTAATTCAATTCTACTTACTTCACCTGGTGGTTCCCGATAAGATACACTAATATTACCTTTACCATTAACTGGAAATACAACAATTGGATCATGATCATTTGTATCAGTTACATGTATATGAACTTTAGCTGTTGCTGAACGTGATGGTTTACCATGATCAATTAATAAAACAATTAATTCATAATTTGCTTGTTTTTCACGATCTAATAATTGTAAAGTTGTTATTTCTCCATTGGAACTATTCAATCTAAAATGAGATGTTGTACCAAGTAAACGAAAATGTAATTGAGCATTTTCATCAATATCATTATCGGTACCAAGTAGGATACCTAAAAAATAAAAAAACATTTGATAAGTGAATGAAATCAATGTTCAGTAATTCACTCAAGTAAGTTTTTAGAAAGCTGTTCCATCCTAGAATCGGACACCTAATATAGCTTCATCTTAAGTCTATCTACCGTTACTCGTGGTCCAAAGACAAGGTGAAGGAGTAGAGTTGAGCATGGGTTTAGCGATTACATTCTTTGATATTATAGAGTAACTGAGATGATTGTCACTATCATGTAAATCTTACAATTGACTATACTGTAAAATTGTACTTGAAGAGAGGCTCACAGATGCGTTTTAAGTGAAGACCAGTGTCAAAACGAAGCTTCTTATTTTCACTCTTTCTTTCGGTGATTGACTAGGTTATGAAACCTCTAAGTCACAGGAGAAGCATGGAATACAATAGGTAGCTTAGATAAAGTTAGACGGTCCAGACCTTTTGAGTAACTTAACTTTCCCATCCTATGCACAGTAACCAGTGTAAATGAAGACAGTAAGTGTGAAAGCAGCTTCTAAAACAGTAGGTTTCAGTATTCACATAGGAGGAAGTAAGACTATAATATACAACACAGAGGGCATTAATCCAATCACATTTGATAGAGAAGCTCTAAAAGAGGTAGAAGCCTAAAACTTAGAGAATTACTTCAAACATCATCAAAAAAGTACGGATATTTATAAAAGACCATCCAATAAAAATACTCCAGATCCTTCGACCAGATATCGTCAGCAACAATCTACTGTTGTAGAGAACAAATCGGCTTCCTTTTTAAGAAGAAATTAGGAAAAGACTCTGCAGGTGAATAGGACATACATTATGAAAATCATCAATTTCCTTCAAGATGCAAACTCGAACTTGAAATATTGACGACAAAATAAAAAGGAAGACCAAAGAACATATTGCACTGGGAACTGAAGGTGTGACATCAAATAAATGAATAAGAAGTGAAAACAACTGGAAAGTAGAGTATATGATAGAATAAGTTGTAGAATCGGCAGTCTATGCTCCAAGAGTGGTAACGAGCTTTGATAAGATGTATACATAGTTCAGTAATTTTCGGAGCAATTACCTAAAACATCAACAATCAATCCAATGAAGAACTTGATTGTCAAATTGACACTAAATACATCATTATATTCATTACTATTAATCAGTCCCCATTTTGTTATACATTTGATGAGTCATTTTCGACCACAAAATAATTAACCATTTGTAATTAGTTGCTTGAAATTTACCACAAAACAAAAATTAAAAACTACTTTTGATTGAACATCATCATCATCATCATCATCATCCAAAGCATCATCATCATCATCATCATCATCATCCAAAGCATCATCATCATCATCATCATCATCATCATCATCATCATCATCATCATCATCATCATCATCATCATCATCATCATCATCATCATCATCATCATCATCATCATCATCATCCAAAGCATCATCATCATCATCATCATCATCATCATCATCATCATCATCATCATCATCATCATCATCATCCAAAGCATCATCATCATCATCATCATCATCATCATCATCATCATCATCATCATCATCATCATCATCATCATCATCATCATCATCATCATCATCATCATCATCATCATCATCATCATCATCATCATCATCATCCAAAGCATCATCATCATCATCATCATCATCATCATCATCATCATCATCATCATCATCATCATCATCATCATCATCATCATCATCATCATCATCATCATCATCATCATCATCATCATCATCATCATCATCATCATCATCATCATCATCATCATCATCATCATCATCATCATCATCATCATCCAAAGCATCATCATCATCATCATCATCATCATCATCATCATCATCATCATCATCATCATCATCATCATCATCATCATCATCATCATCATCATCATCATCATCATCATCATCATCATCATCATCATCATCATCATCATCATCATCATCATCATCATCATCATCATCATCATCATCATCATCATCATCATCATCATCCAAAGCATCATCATCATCATCATCATCATCATCATCATCATCATCATCATCATCATCATCATCATCATCATCATCATCCAAAGCATCATCATCATCATCATCATCATCATCATCATCATCATCATCATCATCATCATCATCATCATCATCATCATCATCATCATCATCATCATCATCATCCAAAGCATCATCATCATCATCATCATCATCATCATCATCATCATCATCATCATCATCATCATCATCATCATCATCATCATCATCATCATCATCATCATCATCATCATCATCATCATCATCATCATCATCATCATCATCATCATCATCATCATCATCATCATCATCATCATCATCATCATCATCATCATCATCATCATCATCATCATCATCATCATCATCATCATCATCATCATCATCATCATCATCATCATCATCATCATCATCATCATCATCATCATCATCATCATCATCATCATCATCATCATCATCATCATCATCATCATCATCATCATCATCCAAAGCATCATCATCATCATCATCATCATCATCATCATCATCATCATCATCATCATCCAAAGCATCATCATCATCATCATCATCATCATCATCATCATCATCATCATCATCCAAAGCATCATCATCATCATCATCATCATCATCATCATCATCATCATCATCATCATCATCATCATCATCATCATCATCATCATCATCATCATCATCATCATCATCATCATCATCATCATCATCATCATCATCATCATCATCATCATCATCCAAAGCATCATCATCATCATCATCATCATCATCATCATCATCATCATCATCATCATCATCATCATCATCATCATCATCCAAAGCATCATCATCATCATCATCATCATCATCATCATCATCATCATCATCATCATCATCATCATCATCATCATCATCATCATCATCATCATCATCATCATCATCATCATCATCATCATCATCATCATCATCATCATCATCATCATCATCATCATCATCATCATCATCATCATCATCATCATCATCATCATCATCATCACCATCATCATCATCATCATCATCATCATCATCATCATCATCATCATCATCATCATCATCATCATCATCATCATCATCATCATCATCATCATCATCATCATCATCATCATCATCATCATCATCATCATCATCATCATCATCATCATCATCATCATCATCATCATCATCATCATCATCATCATCATCATCATCATCATCATCATCATCATCATCATCATCATCATCATCATCATCATCATCATCATCATCATCATCATCATCATCATCATCATCATCATCATCATCATCATCATCATCATCATCATCATCATCATCATCATCATCATCATCATCATCATCATCATCATCATCATCATCATCATCATCATCATCATCATCATCCAAAGCATCATCATCATCATCATCATCATCATCATCATCATCATCATCATCATCATCATCATCATCATCATCATCATCATCATCATCATCATCATCCAAAGCATCATCATCATCATCATCATCATCATCATCATCCAAAGCATCATCATCATCATCATCATCATCATCATCATCATCCAAAGCATCATCATCATCATCATCATCATCATCATCATCATCCAAAGCATCATCATCATCATCATCATCATCATCATCATCATCATCATCATCATCATCATCATCATCATCATCATCATCATCATCATCATCATCATCATCATCATCATCATCATCATCATCATCATCATCATCATCATCATCATCATCATCATCATCATCATCATCATCATCATCATCATCATCATCATCATCATCATCATCATCATCATCATCATCATCATCATCATCATCATCATCATCATCATCATCATCATCATCATCATCATCATCATCATCATCATCATCATCATCATCATCATCATCATCATCATCATCATCATCATCATCATCATCATCATCATCATCATCATCATCATCATCATCATCATCATCATCATCATCATCATCATCATCATCATCATCATCATCATCATCATCATCATCATCATCATCATCATCATCATCATCATCATCATCATCATCATCATCATCATCATCATCATCATCATCATCATCATCATCATCATCATCATCATCATCATCATCATCATCATCATCATCATCATCATCATCATCATCATCATCATCATCATCATCATCATCATCATCATCATCATCATCATCATCATCATCATCATCATCATCATCATCATCATCATCATCATCATCATCATCATCATCATCATCATCATCATCATCATCATCATCATCATCATCATCATCATCATCATCATCATCATCATCATCATCATCATCATCATCATCATCATCATCATCATCATCATCATCATCATCATCATCATCATCATCATCATCATCATCATCATCATCATCATCATCATCATCATCATCATCATCATCATCATCATCATCATCATCATCATCATCATCATCATCATCATCATCATCATCATCATCATCATCATCATCATCATCATCATCATCATCATCATCATCATCATCATCATCATCATCATCATCATCATCATCATCATCATCATCATCATCATCATCATCATCATCATCATCATCATCATCATCATCATCATCATCATCATCATCATCATCATCATCATCATCATCATCATCATCATCATCATCATCATCATCATCATCATCATCATCATCATCATCATCATCATCATCATCATCATCATCATCATCATCATCATCATCATCATCATCATCATCATCATCATCATCATCATCATCATCATCATCATCATCATCATCATCATCATCATCATCATCATCATCATCATCATCATCATCATCATCATCATCATCATCATCATCATCATCATCATCATCATCATCATCATCATCATCATCATCATCATCATCATCATCATCA